AAAAGTATTAGACATTCCAAGAATCAGGAAAATATGACCCATAACCAGGAGAAAAACCAGTCACTACAAATAAAACCAGTATGACACAGATGATAGAATTAGCAAACAGGACATTAAAATAGCTATAACAACTATATTCAACTATTTAAATGAAAATATGAACATTGTAAGAACTGTAAGATATAAAGAAGCATAAATAGAACTTCCAGATATCATAAATACAATAACAGGCTGGGCACAGTGACACTCCTATAATCCCAGAGCTTTGGGTGGCTGAGGCAGGAGGATCACTTGAGACCAGGAGTTTGAAGTTACAGTGAGCCACGATTGCATCACTACACTCCAGTGTGACTCCTGGGTGACAATGTAAGACCTTGTCTCAAAAACACAAACAGAATGCCAGCCTGGGCAACACCGCAAGACCCCATGTCTATGAAAAAATTTAAAATGTAGCTGGGCATGGTGGTGCATGCCTGTACTTCTAGCTACTTGGGAGGCTGAGATGGGAGGATCCCTTGAGCCCAGGAGTTCAAGGCTGCAATGAGCTAGGATAGAGTCACTGCACTCCAGCCTGGGTGACAGAGTAAGACCCTGTCTCTTAAAAAAAAATAAATAAATAACCAAAGAGAAAACTTCACTGAGTGGGATTAGTATAGTACATTAGACACTGAAGAAGAAAATATTACTGACTCTTAACTAGAATATACAATTTGTCCAAACTGAAGCACATAGGGAATAAAAGTTTGAAAAGGAAATGAAGAGTCTTTGTGACTACAGGACAGTATTAAACAGTCTAACAAACATGTAAGAGTTCCACAAGCAGGGGCCAGGAACAGGGTATATAAATAAGTCTCTGAAGAAACAATGTCAAAATTTTCCAAATGTGATAAAAACTGTGAAGACACAACCCCAAGATGCCCCATGAACCTCAAAGGTAAGAAAGAAGAAAACCACAACAAGATACATCTAAATCAAATCCCTTAAAACCCTTCAAAGTAGCCCAAGGGAGAAAAAGACACATTACACACAAAGAAACAAATGTAACAACTGTAGATGTTTCTTCAGAAACTATGCACACCAGGGAAAAATGAATATCATGAAAGGGCTGATAGGAAAATAAAATGGTCACTAAGAATTCTAATCTCAGAAAAAAAATTTTTAAATATAAGTGACAAATGTACAATAAAAAAACTGTAAGACTTTGGGGGGTGGGTGGGGAAAGGAGAAAGTCTTTGGGACGTAGGGCTAGACAGAAAGTTTTTAGATGTGCCATCAAAAGCAGGACACATAAAAGCAAAAAATGATAAACTGGACCTCATCGAAATGTAAAACTTTTGTTCTGCAAAAGAACATAAAGAAGATGAAAACACAAGCTATCCACTGGGAGACAATATTTGTAAACAACATATAAAACAGAAAACTAGTTTACAAAGAACTCTTAAAACTCATAAATTAAAAAAAAAATACAATCAGAAGATGAGCAATAGACATGGACAGACATTTCACCAAAAGAAAGATGCCAATGACAAATAAGTCTACAAAAAGATGTTCAATATCATTAGTCATTATAGAAATACAAATGAAAATTCCAATGTAATAAAAACCACACATCTATCAAAATGACTAAAATAACAAAGACAACACCAAATGCTGGTAAGATGTGCAGACACTGGAACAATCATACATTGCCAGGGGAAATGTAAAATAGGACAGCTAATCTGGTAAATTGGCAGTTTTTTTACAAAACTAAAAATTTTGAGCAAAAGTGGTAGAGTAAGAACCTCCAAAAATTCCCTTCCATAAAAACAATGAGAAACTGTCAGAAATGTCTAAATGCTACATGTTGAGAACTCTGGAAATGAACCTAAGGCTTACAGTAATATAGGGAGAATTTATTCAAGAAAAAAATGACTGAACATCAGTAAGAACAGTGGGTTGTAGGCTTCATGGTATTTTCACTTGCTCTAGTCCAAACCCCACTCTCCTGCTCTGCAGAAGACTGAAAAACCAACAGCCCACAATCAAGGAGAAAAGCAGTAGCAAGGGGTAGGACCACATTAGAGTGCCTTAAAAGCTTCCTTCTCAGAGAACTGTCAAAGATTCGTCTCGTGGTTCCCTGGAAGACCCACTTGCAAGGCTGTCTTTATTCCATCTGACTACGAGATTGCCCAGTGCAAAAACCGTTGTAAACTGAAACAAATTACAGGCAATTGTTTAACTTCACAGCTGCCTGAAACAGTTGTAACAAACAACTGACAAACCAGAAACTGTAAAAGGAAAAGCTTTCAAAATGTGGAAACATCACAAATGTCTATCAACTGATGAACAGATAAACAAACCGTCATGTATCTACTCAATGGAATATTATTCAGCCATAAAAAGGAATGAATTCTGATACCTGCTACAACATGAATAAACCTTGAAAACATTATGCTGTGTTAATGCAGCCAGATACAAAAGGCCACATATTGTTTCATTCCACTAATATAAAACATCCAGAAAAAGGTATATCCATAGAGGCAGAAAGTAGATTAGTGATTACCAGGGATTGGGAGAAAGTGTATACTCTCTCTTGCTCTTTGGCTTGCTTGCTCTGATGGAAGCCAGTTGCTATGTTATAAACTATCCTATAGAAAGGCCAAATGGCAAGGAACTGAGAGAGGTGCTCTAGCCAACAGCAAGCAAGAAACAGAGTCCTTCAGTTCAACAGCCTACAAGGAATTGAACCTGACAACAACCACATGAATGAACATAGAAGAAGGTCCTTCTTCAGTTAAGTCTTCAGATGAGACTGCAGTCCTGGCCAACAACATTGACTGCAGCTTTGTAAGAGACCTGGAGGCAAAGGCACCCAGCTAAGTCAGGCCCAGATTCTGGGGCCTCAGAAAATATAAGATATTGAATGTTTAAATCACTACATTTGGGGGTAAGTTGTTAAGCAGCAATAGATAATTAATAAAGATGAATATTTGCTTAAAACAATAGATTACAGATACTTTAACTGTAAAGTCAGCATCTTTCTTAATGGGGAAAACCCTAGCGGCATTCCCAGCAAGGTCAGAAAGAAGATAAGAGGCCAGGCGCAGGGGCTCATGCCTGTAATCCCAGCACTTTGGGAGGCTGAGGCGGGTGGATCACAAGGTCAGGAGTTTGAGACTAGCCTGGCCAAGATGATGAAACCCCGTCTCCACTAAAAATACAAAAACTAGCCAGGCGTGGTGGTGGACACCTGTAATCCCAGCTACTTGGGAGGTTGAGGCAGGAGAATTGCCTGAACCCGGGAGGCAGAGGTTGCAGTGAGCCGAGATCGTGCCACTGCATTGCAGCTTGGGCGACAAGAGTGAAATTCGGTCTTAAATTTTTTTGTTTTTTTTTTTAAAGAAAGAAGACGAGGATGTCCACTATCTCCAGGACACTTTCACATTGTATGGAGGAACTAGCCAATGCAATAAGACTAGAGAAAGTAATTAAAGGGATAACAGTTGGAAAAGAAGAAGTAACACCATCTGTATTTTCCAACGTAAGAGTACATCTAGAAAACTTTATAGAGAATCTATCATGAAAACTAATTGAAACAATAAAGATTTCAGCAAGATACCAGGATATAAAGTTAACATGCAAAAATCAATATTGTTCATATATACAAAACATAACCAGTTAGAAGATATAACACATGACAAAATTCATTTACAATAGTAAAAAAAAAAAAAAAGATTAAATACTTAGTAACAGACTTTAGAAATTTTCAAAACCTGTTTTAAATAAAACTATAAAGTACCTAAAGGACACAAAAGTAAACTAAAAAGATGGAAAGACAGCCTTGTTCCTAGAAATACATACTTACGTATTTAGAGGAAAAGAAAAAACCATGATGTGCATAACTATCAGAAACTTCAGAAAATAATACACATATACACACATACAAAAGGATGAAACCAAAAACTTCATAAAGCAAGTTTTGTGGTCAAACACCATCAAAAATGTTTAAATCAATGTAATCAAGAGGAAATAATCCAGTGAATTCAGACATCTACTTTTAAAAGGCATTATTTTTGAAAACTTACATAATTTAAACATAAGCTGTGTATTAAATTATAATGAATATTACTTTCCTTAGGTATGACAATGACATTATGTCTATAATTTACTTTCAAATCATTCAGCTTCTGGGGGGGCAGAGGGGTAGGAGACAGAAGGGAAAGAGAAAGCAAATGTGGCAAAATGTCAAAATTGGTTAAATTTAGGTGAAGGGTATACGGGTGTTCTTTCTATGTTTTCAACTTTCTTGTTAGTTTGAAATTTTTCAAAATAAAAGGATGGGACAAAGGACATGACAGAAAAGATGGCAGGTGTAAGGCTAGATTTCCTTCCTTGACCTCTTGAAAATCGTGCCAAACAACAAAGAGTACAAGAAATAGCAATGCAAACCCTCCTGCAAAAAATCAGGAGGCAGCTAGACAGAGAGGGAAATGTAAGATATCTAAATTTATCTTCCTTAGTGGTAAGTTAACAGACAATTAACACGGGTGCATTAAAAAAACAATGGTGTAAACATAGTATTTAGCACTTGGAGGTAATCATAAAAAGAACTAAAACAAATGAAGCGTGGAGGATGCATGAAAAGAGACTTTTACTTATATTTTACGCTATCTGTTTATATGAAGTATCACATGTAGTAGTAGTAATAACAATAATAGAGTTTCCCAATTACATGGACTATCCAGAAAGATTCTGTGACGGAAGACACTGTACCCAGAGAAAAGGCATTTCTCATCATCTTCACTACCTTGAAGTGAAATATTTAAAATACAGTTGTAAATGGTTAAATACTTTAAAATACTATTGGGTTTAGTAGAATCACAGGTCTACCTACATGAGTACCATGATCATGATACCAAAAAATAACAAATTAATACATTAAGATGACACATCCTATTATTTCAAATAACTTAGAATTATGTTCATTCTTGTTTTTAAAAAATTTGAATAAACAGACTCACAGTTCCACAAGGTTTGGAAGCTTCTGAGCAAGGTTTTCTGGCTGAAAATTAAAAACTCAGAATTAAATTTTATTTTTGAAAAATGTCGAAACATTTCTAATTTATTTAAATACAAAGTACTACCTTTTTGAGGGGTGTAAATTTTGAGAAAATGTGAAAATAATTAATCAGCAGGTCTGGGTTCTATTCTTACAGAGACCATACTACAATTTAAATTTATAAATTCGAACAATAAAAAGCAATGTCTCTTAGAGCAGCAGTCCCCAACATTTTTGTCTCCAGGGACTGGTTTCCTGGAAGACCAATTTTCCAGATAAGGTTGTGGGGGTGGTGTGGGGATGATTCAAGCACATTACGTTTATTTTGCATTTTATTTCTATTACTATTGCATTGTAATACATAATGAAATAATTATAGAACTCACCATAATGAAGAATCAGTGGGAGCTCTAAGCTTGTTTTCCTGCAACTAGACGGTCCCATCTGGGGGTGATGGGAGACTGTGACAGATCGTCAGGCATTAGATTCTCATAACAAGTGCACAACCTAGATCCCTCACGTGTGCAGTTCACAATAAGGTTTCTGCTATGAGAATCTAATGCTGCTGCTGATAGGACAAGAGATGGCATTCAGTCGGTAATGCAAGTGACAGGGAGTGGCTGTAAATACAGATGAAGCTTCGCTCGCTTGCCTGCCACTCACCTCCTGCTGTGCGGCCCCAGTCCTAACAGGTACCAGGTCCATAGCCCAGGAATTGGGGACCCCTGCCTTAGAGAAACCACAAACCTCATAAACCATGGTCATGGAAGAAACGAAAATGTGCTTCACAGACACAGACAGAGGGAAGAACCAGAAACTGAAGTGACACAACTGGAAGCTGAGGAACACCGAAGGTTGCTGGCAACTCCCAGCAAGGAGAAACGCAAAGAGCACATGCTCCCTCAGAGCCCTGAGAAGGAACCAATCTGAAAAGGAACCATTTCGGACCACACCTTGATTGCGGAATTCTTGTCTCAAGAACTGTCAGAGAATACATTTTTGTTGTTTCAAGTCACGCAGTTTTTGATAATTTGTCACGGCAGCCCTAAAAAACTAATATATCCTCCAAATTCCCAAATCATGATCCTCAAGAGAAAATAAGGGAAATCTGCAGGGCCCCCAGGTACAAGACCCGACTAAGCTCCAAATGAACAGGGAAAGCTGGAGCTCATGTGGTCCAAGGGAGTGTCAGACCTGGCCACAGGTCTGGAGATCAGAGTAGAGGTGTGATGTGGGAGGGACAGGAAATTGGCCATTGGCAGAAGAGAGAAAGGCAGACAAACCTAGGTCCCTTACCCAGAAAAAGTCAGAGTCCTGAAAGGGCTGGCCTTTCCATGAAAAGAATCCTAGAACAATTCTACTCACAGACTGAAAACAGGCTTCTCTCTGCTGGAGGTACTGGGTAGGGGAGAAAGCCTCCTGTAAATAACTGAAAGCCAGTCTGCATACACACACACACACACATACACAGATATATGCATATATACACATATAATCTCTCTCTCTCTCTCTCTCACACACACACACACACACACACACACACACAGGGGGTTCGAATTTACACAAACGAAAAGAAAGAGTCGAAAGGCTGAAGGAGCACACTGAGTCAGAACTAATTTTTTTTCATCTACATTCAAGCATACTATAGGGTAAACTGTGTATCAGTAATAACAAATCAAGAATGGCTTTTTAGAAGACATTAGGTCTGACCCGAGTTCCAAAAGACATAAATTATAACAGGCTGACATGGAATGGAGAGGAGGGTAGTTCTGTATAGCTTTCTAGGCACAAGAAGCAACATATGAAAAGCCAAAAGAAAACAAGGTACAACTGGGAAACTGCAAATACAATCCATTCTGCTATAACTACATAACAGCACTCCTGAAGAAATCTTACATTTTCAAAAATCCTGTTAGAAAAACAATCATGTCAATAGAAAAACTAATGTGTTAAGGACTAGAAAGTTGACTATTTTAAATAACCAAGAAATTTTTCATAGAGAAACTTGGATTTTTAACAATGAGCATGTGTCTTTTATAATTGAAAAAAATTAAAATTGAATTTTAAGATCTGCTGTGTGCAGCATAAGCTGTTATACAATTGATTATAATCAATTGTATACAATTTGAGATCTAAACATTCACTAGGACAAGTGACATTAGTTTGGTATGTCTGGGCCACTGGGTATGAAGATGTATGATTTTACAGAGAATGGCAAGGAACAGATCACTAAGGGCTTATATTTTATACTAAGGAATAGCTTTTAAAAAATCGTGAACACAATGGAATATCACTGGTTTATTTTAAACCAGAAAATGTCATTATTAATGTCATACTGGCATACTGATGTATTTAAATAGTTAGCAACAGTATCCCAAACTGTTTATATATACATATCCTTCCCTTTTGTGATAACCAAATATCACTGAATATGAATATTGTTAAGAAATCAAGGAAGCATTTTTGAGGACCCACTCTTATCAGTACCATTTGTATTTCATTTTCAAATGCTGAAAGCTGTGATTCTTTTTGCCCCATGTTTCATACTGATATATGCAACAAGGTCCTTCAAAACTAGTCATTTCTCAGATGTTCCTTGTGGATCCGTCTAAATCCCTGGAGTGTTTTGTTTTTATTATCAGTATCTCCCTTGAGACTATACACTTCCATTTATGGGCATACATACAAAGCATCCTAGAAAAATTAGGGAACCAGTGGGTGGAGGGCCTTCATTATAGCTGTTCCTATAAAAAGGAAAGATTTGTCCAAAAAGAAATGCTGTTTGACTGTTAGACCTTCAACTAGTTTCATCTGCTAATATCAATACTTTATCTGGCTAATTCACACACTCCACAGCCATTCTTTCTGCATGTCTACTTGGCTCCATCAAATAGCATTCTAATCTTTCCATGACAAACTAGTTAGTTCTTTTGAGCTGTAGCTCTACACACAATTAAGCACTGAAATAATGCTTTTGCTGCCAATAGAGCATCTCTATGTCTTTATTAACAAGTAGGTACATTGTGTTTTTATTTGAAAATAAGCACATTCACTTTGAGAAAATTGCAGTTCATTAGAATAATGCCTTAAAACACACAGACATTTAGGAATAGATGCCCCAAACTCCTGGCAAATAATCAGCCCTTGCACAGGCTGTGACTGACACCTACTGGTGTTCCATAATATCACTCTCTGTTTTCTAATGCCGTATTTTTAGCAATGTAGCTGACAAATGCTATACGTTTTAATTTTTATACTTCTATAATTTAGATACAGCATGTAAGAGACTAGACAACTAGAAATTAATGTCAGAATTTTTGTTACTTTGTGGGTAACCAAGCTCTAATGTTGGATTATGGAAGTCACACAAACTAGTGTATCCTAATCCATAGGATTTACAAGCTATGAAGTGTTTTAATGTTTTTAAATTTAAAATCCTGATAAAAGCAATAGTCTTAACGTGCTTCTCAAATCTATTACTATTATTGCCTTCTTGTTTCACTATTTGAAACAGAAAAGTTTATCAAATGAATATAACATGTACTCAAATACATCCTACTAAATTACCTAGAAATTGTTTTTCTAAATCAAGCCAAGGATTCTCTTCATTAAATCCCATTTACATTATTATCTAGCTAAACAACTTTTCTTTACAATAATGAAAAAGTAAACTTCAGCAAGCACAGTTAGTATAAAACTTACCCCAAATTCTGAATCAATAATGCTTTACCATATCCTTTTAGACTCCACTTAAATGGGAATGTTTTAAAATTTTTAAACTTGGAACAAATACGTCAAATATTTTGCAAACACCATCATGTTCAGTGATATCTTCTGGTGGGCACTGTGCATTACCTACTTTCTTTCCTTCTCTTTCCGAACACCTGCTAGGACTGCACATCTTTCATCAAGCTGGCCACGGCTAAGTAACTTGCTTGGTCAGTGAAATTAAGCCAAAGTGGAAGCCTTGACAAGATTGAGCACAAAAGACCTCACCCCTTCCACAGAGACCGCCACATGCTGGATGTTTTGTCAGCTTCATTCCTGAGCAGAGGCTCAGTGTAGACAAGAAATATGTGTGCTGTTATAAGCCACTAGGACTCAGGGTTCGGAAAAACCTGCTCCATCCTAGCTTCTAACAACACATTTCAAAGAAGTCACAGATTAAATGTATTTCAGTTCTTATAGAAGTTATAAAAAGTAGAAGAAAGCAGAATGAATTTGGACCACTATCTCATACCATATACAAAAATTAACTCAAAATGGATCAGCAACTTAAATTTAAGAGCTAAAACCAAACTTCACAGAAGAAAACATAAGAGTAAATCTCCATAATCTTAGATTTGGCAATGAATTGATAGCTATTACATCAAAAGCATGAGCAGCAATAGAAACAATAGACACACTGGCCGGGTGCAGTGGCTCATGCCTATAATCTCAGCATTTCGGGAGGCCAAGGTGGGTGGATCATTTGAAATCAAGAGTTCGAGACCAGCCTGACCAACCTGGTCAAACGTCATCTCTACTAAAAATACAAAAAAAATAGGTGGGCATGGTGGCATGTGCCTATAGTACCAGCTACTCCAGAGGTTGAGGCAAGAGAATCCCTTGAACCCAGGAGGGGGAGGTTACAGTGAGCTGAGATTGTGCCACTGCACTCCAGCTTGGGCGACAGAGTGAGACTCCGCCTCAAAATAAATAAATAAATGAAAAAACAGGGCTGGATGCGGCAGCTTATGCCTGTAATCCCAGCACTTTGAGAGGCTGAGCCAGGTGGATCACGAGGTCAAGGGATGGAGACCATCCTGGCCAACATGGTGAAACCCCATGCCTACTAAAAATATAAAAATTAGCTAGGCATGGTGGCACGCACCTGTAGTCCCAGGTATTCGGGAGGCTGAGGCAGGAGAATTGCTTGAACCCAGGAGGCAGAGGTTGCAGTGAGCCGAGATGGCGCCACTGCACTCCAGCCTGGCAACAGAGTGAGACTCCATCTCAAAAAA